ATGATCCAAATTCTACCTTGCAAGTCTGGCTAGACCAGAGGATGTACACTGGTACAGATAGGAACTGGAAATCCAGGGAATCCAGGGCGGATGATCCCTTCAGGACCAGTGGTGTGAGTGGCGATGCTGGGAGGGTAGAGGGAGAGTGGGTTGGAAAGAGGGAACCGATTACAAGGATCTATATGTAACCCCCTCCCTGGGGGACGGACAACAGAAAAGTGGGTGAAGGGAGACGTAGGACAGGGCAGGATATGACAAAATAAACAATTTATAAATTATCAAGGGCTCATGAGGGAGAGGGGAGCGGGGAGGGAGGGGGGAAAATGAGGACCTGATGCCAGGGGCTTGGGTGGAGAGCAAATGTTTTGAGAATGATGAGGGCAATGAATGTACAAATGTGCTTTACACAATTGATGTATGTATGGATTGTGATAAGAGTCGTATGAGCCCCTAATAAAACTATTTTTTTTAAAGTGTTAAAAGGCACACAAAAAAAGTATTGATGCAATGACTGCAATAATGGGCTGAAATATATCAACAATTCTGAGGATGATGTAGTACTGGACAGTCTTTCATTGGCTGTGCATTAACATTGCAATGATTTGGAACCAACTTGATGGCACCCAAGAAGAAGAAGAGTGGGAGGAAGAAGAAAAGAAGAGGGGGAAGAGGAAGAAGGAGAACAACAATAACAACAACTAGGGTCTCTATAAGTGAAATTGATAAAGGAGAGGGCAGTGAAAAAGAGGAACTGACACAGTGGCTGTCATAATGGCTCGAACATAAGAATAATTATGAGGATGGTGCAGGACCAAGTGGTATTTTGTTCTGCTGTACAGATGGTTGCTGAGTCAAGACTAACTTGAAGGCACTTAACAACAACAGCAAGTGAAGTAGATTCGATGACGATAGTTTTGGTGGCCCAAACGGATTCACCTGCCAGATGAATTAGCTGTATTCTGTATAGTTAGCATCTAGAACTTTCAGCAAGTTCTTAACTGAATTAACATCTCTAGGACAGTGGGTGAGGTGACTCTCTGAGATATAAGAGGGGGTACCCCCCAAATGGGAAAAAGCTCTGTTGGGTGGAGCTTTCATAGTATGCACTTTTTCCACCTGATGAGCATTGAACAACTTGCTCTGAGCTAGTGCACCCAGTGGCATTGCCTGGGAAGGTCTTCTCTAGTCATAGTAAATTTTTTCATAAAAGCAGTTTCGCTCGAATCTCATTTGTTTGTGATGGCCAATTTAAGACAATAGTATGCTGCTGTGAAAATTTGTTTCCTGCTTGGGAAAAATGCCACAGAAACTGTTGTGATGTTAAGAAAAAAAAATAAAGAAACTGTTGTGATGTTGAGCAAAGCTTACAAGGAAAGCACTGTGGGGAAAACTCAAGTGTACAAGTGGTTTTCTCATTTCAAAAAAGGTAAAATGTCAACTGATGACAAACCTTGTTCTGGATGTCCATCAGCTTCCTGAACAGATGAAAATGTTAACTTGTGCATTTGGAGTTTGTTCCACAAAGTCAGACTGATAACAAGCATTCTATTTAGAGGTTCTGAAATGATTGTGAAACAGTGTGTGACAAAAAAAGGCCTGATTCATGTACATATGTAAATATATTTCTATATGATGATGGGGAAATAGTTCTATGTGTATATATTTATAGATTCAGTATTAAGGTAGTAGATGGACATTGGTAAGGTGACCAAACGTCCCGTTTTTGGCGGGACAGTCCCGATTTTTAACAATTTTTCCATCGTCCCGCGGCATTTTTAAAAAGTCTAAATTTTTGGAAAGAATGCACGACAAGCTAGAGTATATGGTTTTTGGCTGCCACGTGGCTATTTCGCCAGGATATGAGTTTTATCAATGGTGTCCCGCTTTACCAATGTTGAAATCTGGTCACCTTAACATTGGGGCTTTACTCAAGCACTTCCTCAATGCAAGAACACTTTGTTCTATTAAACTGGCATTCCACAATGCTCACCTTCTTAACACGATCGCTGAAGACAAAATAGGTGCATAGCAAATGTGGTGAAGAAAGCTGATGGTGCCCGGCTATCAAAAGATATAGTGTGTGGGGTTTTAAAGGCTTGAAGATAAGCAAGCGGCCATCTAGCTTAGAAGAAACAAAGCCCACATGGAAGAAGCACACAAGCCTGTGTGATCATGAGGTGTCGATGGGATCAGTTATCAGGCATCAAAGAACAAAAAATCATATAATTGTGAATGAGCAACTGGACATCCCCTCACAGAAAGTTTACAGGAAGGAGACGAGCCTTTCAGGGTGCAGTATAGCACCGATGAGACATACAACTTTCCTTTAGTTCTTTAATGCTTCTTCCCCCCCACTCTCATGATCCCAATTCTACCTTACAAATCCGGCTACACCAGAGGATGTACACTAGTACAGATAAGAACTGGAAACACAGGGAATCCAGGACAGATAAACCCCTCAGGACAAATAATGAGAGTAGAGATACCAGGAGGGGAAGGGGAAGGTGGGGTAGAAAGGGGGAACAGATCACCAAGGTCTACATATAACCTCCTCCCTGAGTGATGGACAACAGAAAAGTGAGTGAAGGGAGACGTCAGTCAGTGTAAGACATGACAAAATAATTTATAAATTATCAAGGGTGAGGGAGGGGAAAAATGAGGAGTTGATACCAATGGCTCAAGTAGAAAGAAAATGTTTTGAAAATGATGTTGGCAAGAAATGTACAAATGTGCTTGACACAATGGATGGATGGATGGATTGTGATAAGAGTGATAAGAGCCCCAATAAAATGATGTATAAAAGAAAGTAGACAAAAATTAAAAACTGAAACAACTTATTAAAAAAGACCTGATTTGTGGCAGACAGGGGACCGGTTTTGCCACCACGACAATGCACCTGTTCACACAACCATCTCAGTGCCCCAGTTCTTGGCAAAAAACAGCATGCCTCTCTTGCCCCACACACCTTACTCACCTGACTTTGCTCTAGGTGACTTCTTTTTTGTTTCCACAAATAAAGAGGGACACGAAAGGACAGTCATTTGAAACAGTTTTCAAACTCATCTGTTTGGATGACTGAATGAAATCACGGATTTGACAAATCTGTTAAGTGTAATGGAGAGTACTTTGAAGATGTTTTGTAAAAAAAAAATTAAATACATAGCTTTGAAAAAAAGGGGGGCGTACTCCCTCATATGCTCGTCTATAAGGCCTGCCAGTTTATCTGTACCTTTAACCAACAATGAATGACATGATTTATGACGGATGCACACAAGTAAGGGTTTATGGGCAGATTTTCCATTTCTGGGGGCAAAAATCAGTAACCTATGGGAATTTCTAACATTGAAAAGTGGTACAAATTGGTGGAGCTACAAATCAAATTTATTCTCAAGAACAATGATTCATAGTTGAAAAGTATGAAGGGACAATTAAGTCAGAGACATGTGAAAATAGAGAATAAGGGTGAAAATGTGAAAATAAATAATAGCTATAATCATTATTTCACACTTAGAAATGTACATCTTTCTTTTGTGGAAATTAGAAAAGACCATTGGCGTGTTCCATTCTCCTTCTAGGAATATACTGGACCGCTTAGATCTGACCTCTTCTGCCTCTCAGATGTCCTTTCCCCCAGAAGTTTCTCTCTCTCTCTCTCTCTCTGTCTCCCCTTCTGCCCCCACCCCCCAATTCATTCCACCTCCTTCTGTCCGTCTCTTTACTTTCTCTCCCCCACACACACACACACACACACACACACACACAAAGTGATTGGAGTGCATTTATTATCTATAATGAAAACCCCCAAACTAAACCTATAGAGCTGATTCTGCATCATAGAGACCCTATTTAGGTTTTTGAGGCTTTGTAACCTTCACCGGGCTATCTCATCTTTTCACCTGGTATGAACCAGCATTTTAATACTTACCCGGCCACCTTTATACCTATGCTATATTTGTCTCAATAGTTATGACAGACATCCATGTTACTGTACTGTAGTATACTTTGTATTGTATTTACATGAACTTTCCCTTCTTACAAATACTATGTTTTCTATATAGCAGTGTGTGTTTTGGCACGTAGCCAGCAACATACAACACAATTCTTGCATGTTTCTTTAGTTTCGAAGCATTTGCTGTTTAATTTTCTTCCAAAACTATGATCAGTAAGTACACCGTGACTCACAAATGCAGCAAGATCTGTGCTAGCAAGCGATAGCAGCAGCAAGAAGCAAAGGAGAAGAAGCTATGTGGATGTGAAACAAGGTTACTGAACACCAAGAAGGTGGACAATCAGGAGTGCTAGTCCTCATGATATAGGCAAAGTCACATAATATTCAAAGCATATACTGTCCTATTTCACAGACCATATCAGAGGCATTAAGTGACAAAAGACTGGTTAAAATGGCCATTTTAACCATTTTAAGCGAACAATCCAGTAGCATTAATTTTATTGTGCACTCATTACTATATTTTCAAAACTTTCCCATCATTCACAACAGAAACTCAGTACCCGTTAAGCAATAACCCCATTCTCTGCTGCCCCCATAGACCCTGGTAACCTCTAATCCGCTGTCTCTGTAAATTTGCCCATTCTAAAGAGCTCATGTAAGTAGACTCCACAATGCAGGTCTACCTCAAAGGTATTGCAGGTTTGGTTCCGGACCCCCGCAATAAAGAGAATATCACCATAAAATGAGTCACAAGGACATTTTGGTTTTCTGGCGAGTGTCAAAGTTACATTTGCACCATACTGTAGTCTATGAAGTGTGCAATTCTGAAACAGTGTGAAATACTGTGAGGGTGACCAAAATGTGACATAGAGACACAAAATGAGCACACCCTTATGGAAAAGTGACACTGATAGACTTGCTGAATGCAGGGCTGCCCCCAAACTTCCATTTGTAAGAAATTCTGTATCTGCGAAGTACAATCAAGTGACACACAATAGGGCAGGGCATGCCTGGGTAATATTCTAATGAAATATCTTCCATTTTTCCATAGAACCATATTTCTTTAACAAGCCAGACATCAAGATCTTCCATCAGATTTTCCCCTCAGCCAGCCAGTGTCGCACTTGCCAACCCGCTCTCTCCTGACCACAAGCAGAAAGGCGTCAGCTCCCTGGCTCTGCCCAGCTGTTTAATTCCACGGGGTCATCAGGAGGCTTCAGATGGACAGAGAAAGGAATGTAATGAAAAGCATATTCTGAGAGAAAATAGCAGTGAACATGTAAAGAAGGAGAGCATGAATCACAAAAGGAAACATTTTGCTTCTGATTCTAAATCAGAGAAAACAAGTAAACAGATGGCACTGGAAGAAGAGGAGGAGGAGGAGGAGGTTGGAGCCTATCGCAATTCTGGGAATGCAAGTGCATTTGAAAACCAGTTTTGTGATATTAGGTATCTGGAAGATTGGGAGAAAAGCCAGTTGATTGAATTCCTCAAACAGGCACCAGCTCTGGTGGTAACTCTGATATATAAGGATGGTTCAACCCAGCTAAGAACTGGCCAGGTTAGTAAACAATGTGTGTGTGTGTGTGTGTGTGTGTATTGTGGGTAGGAAACTGTGAAAGAAGCCCACGTTCAGATGTCTGGCTTTAATAGGAGAGTAGATATAATTGAAGTTTTTCTGTTTTCTTCAGTATGATTAACAGTATCCCCAAAGCTATTGTACACTTCAGTAGGTGGTAAGATTGCTTCTAATCTAATCTTAGCTAACAATTGGCTCATATTAATAGTATTTATATGAATATTCTATGTTCTTGATCTTAAAATGGGATAAATTCTGTTTTTATAATTAATTTAGAAACAACCCTTGATGTGGTACTTAAATGATAAAACATTGCTTTCCCCCCTAGTGGAATACAAGTATTTTTATATCCATACTTAAAATTTTGTGATACTTTCCTTTCTTAAAATGCACATTTCTGATGATTCTCTCCAACCAGACCCCTTCAAAATCCAGGGACGAGTATCCTCTGTGCCCAACACATCTCTGCCTTTAATATTTATTTTAGAGCTTAAAAATAACTGCATAAAACCAGCTTCTAGACCATTGTAGCATGTGTAAAGGAGCCCTGGTAGCTCTGCTGGATAAACAGTGGGTTGTTAACCACCAGTTCTGCAGTTTGAATCCACTAGCCACCCCAAGGGAGATGAGGCTGCCTGCTTCCAGGAAGATCTACAGTCTTGAAAACTCCAGGGCCACTGTGAGTCTGAATCCACTTGGTGGCAGTGGTTTAGTTGTCACTGTGTATGAAGCAGATACGTTGACTTTACACATGTTGTTGTTTGGTGCAGTTGAGTTGGTTCTAACTTAGAGCAACCCTACATACACGGGCCGGTTCTTTGACAGCCTCAGAATTGTTCGAACCCATTGTTGGAGCCACGGTGTCAGTCCATCTTTTCAAGCATTCCTCTTTTTCACGGTCCCTCTACTTTACCAAGCATGATGTCCTTTTCCTGGTTGATCTCTGGTCAGGTGCCCTGGTGTCATAATGGTTATGCACTGGGCTGCTAACCACAGAGTTGGCAGTTCAAAACCACCAACTGCTCTGTGGGAGAAAGATGAGGCTTTCTAATCCAGTAAAGATTTAGTCTCAGAAACCCATAGGAGAATTTTTACCCTATCCTATAGGGTCTGGATTTCACATACAGAGAAGGATTTTTTAAAAACCTCACAATAACAAGTAAGAGATAAAAACCTCAATTGAAAAGGAAGCAGAAAATATTAAAAACTAGCACAAATTTAAATGAATAATAAGGGAGATCAAATACTAGGGTGCTAAATTTTAACCTGTGTCTGCAACAGTTCACCTTCCAATATATTCTGCACGAGAGAAAGGTCATTCATATCTCTGGTCCATGGTCAGAGGTGAGTAATCAGGAGCTTAAATCACATGTATTTCCCTTTCATTAAAAAAAAACAAACTGAAACAATTTTAAAACGGTCACAGGGAGATCAAATGATAAGATACTACAATTTGACCTGACAGTGTCTGCCACAAATGACTTTGCAATGCTCCCTATCTGATCACAAGAATATTCACATTCCTTAACAATGATCAGAGGGCATTCACCAGAGGCTTAATCCACTGTGCACCCTGCAAATGGATTTTGGGCTCCCACTGTCATCCATAGCCTTCTGCAAACAGGTGTTCACAATTACAATCTGATACCATTTTTTCCCTTTAGATTTGGATTACATCCTTTGATTTTTGATTGCTGCTTCCACGAACCTTGATTGTGGATTCAAGTAAAATGAAATGCTTGACAACTTCAGTGTTTTCTCAGTTTATCATGATACTATCTCTCGGTCCATTGTGAGGATTTTTGTTTTCTTGACATTGAGTTGTAAATCATACTGAAGACTGTAGCTTTTGATTTTCATCAGCAAGTACTTCAAGTCCTCTTCACTTTCAGTAAGCAAGGTTGTGTCATCTGCTGTTAATAAGCCTTCCTCCAACCCTGATGCTTGTTTTGCTTTATATAGTCCAGCTTCTCTGGTTATTTGCTCAGTATATGGATTAAATAAGTATGGTGAAAGGATACAACCCTGATGTACACTTTTCCTGATTTTAAACCATGTAATGTTCTCTTGTTATGTTCTACTGGCTTGGTTTATGGACAAGTTCTGCATGAATACAATGAAGTGTGCTGGGATATCTGTTCTTCACAATGTTATCCATAGTTTGTTACAATGCACACAGTTGAATGCCTTTACATAGTCCATCTAATATAAGTAAACATCTTTCTGGTGTCCTCTGCTTTTATCCAAGATCCACTTCTGAATCTTGCTTGAATTTCTGGCAACACTCTGCCAGTGTCTTACTGCAACT